AGAATCGTGAGTCTGATGATGGTCAGAAATAGATCGCGACAGTCGCGATGAAGAAGACAGAGTGAAGGAGTGATGATGGCGATGTAAAATCTTAGGTCGCACAACGATTGCGACTTATGTTGATGACGATCGCAATTTCTGAGGTTGATGGCTAGGGTTTCGGACACGGCTCTGATACCATGTAAGTTGTTTGTATTCAATGAATATCATATACAAAGAGGTCATCAGTATATAACCCTAACCTACGATTGAAAAAGGAAATACATATTAATTCCTATTTACATCACCACAATCTTGCCTAATTTGCCTAATTCCTAATATACACAAGTATACCATATATACATATATTCTCACAACATATCTTCAATTGGTTCTTCTTGCAATCTAGTCATGTGAATTTTTTTTTCCTGCATTGGTTGTATAGGGTGTTGCTGTTTATACTCCCCAAGGTCAATCTCAACCTTCTTTTGCCATGGGTAGTAATTCTGTTGAGGTAATAATTCATATTGTGTGGTTTTTTAAAATGAAAATGCATTATTAATTTTTTTTTTCATTACATATATTTTTTGCTTTATGTTGGTTTACTTTAGGGTCATGGTCATGGTGTCTATATTTCTCAATCTCAACCTGAATCTCAATCTCAACCTCCATTTGCCATGGGTCGTACAAGTGTTTATCATGTCATGTATCCTACATATGATGTGAGTTATAATTATTTACATACTTTACATTCAAATGGTAGTATACATTGTATCAATATTTTAATAAATTTAGTGCTATTGCAGGGAAATAACACGCCTCAGGCAATGCCTTTAGTCTATCCTACTCAGACATCGTTTCAGGAGTTGCTTCGAGGTACTAGTGTTCAACACTCTGCAGTCCAAATGTCGCAAGTATCACATAGTCCTGCTGACAGTCATGCAGATGGACATCCCTGAACGAACGATGATATTATTATATTTTCAGATTTGAGAGTATTTTTTTTATGTTGTTTGGATTTGGGTCATTTTTGATGTTATTTTTTGCAATGGGAACAATATTTGGAAACAATGTTCTTCTTATTCATTGCAATGGAAACAATGTTTGGAAAGAATTTGGGTCTTTTTTGGTGTTATTTTTTTATTCTTATGCTATGAATCAGAAGAATGTTCAAATTCTATTATGCTGGGTATTGGCTGTATGACTGAGATAGGGATTTACAAGTTTAAATATTAGGAGTAGAATGCATGCATATATATAAATATTTGGTAATTTGTTGGGTGTATGATTGATATAGGGATGGACAGATTATTTGTCAAATGATAACAATGTTGCTATATTTTGTGAGAACTTAACAATACTCACAAACCTATTAACATATTAACTTGTTCAAAGGTACATTTAACTTGTTGTCTGTGTTTGAAGTGTATATACAAAGCTGCAATCAACACATTTTTTGTGTTTTCACTGCGAGAGGGGAATAAAGTATAAAAATGTTAACATATTAACAATGTTCCATTCAGGATTAATAATAGTCAATGTACCATTTAGCAGTCAAAGAATGGACATAACAAATCGATAAAAAGAATGTCGCTTTCTATAATTTCATAGAGGAAAACTTCAAGGTACAAAGTGCCACCACCAAGTCCAACAAACATCAGTAAAAAAATGGCACCAACCAACCTGCAATACATTAGTAATAGCAACATTCTCAAAATATATACATTACATGCATAAATAAAGAGAAATATATTACTTCTATTTCTAACTTGCATATATATTACTACATCTTCATAACTGATACGATACCAACTACAAGCAAGATGAACAACCCACAAATACGACACCAACTTCGATTTATGTTTGTTTCCAATTTAATCATTTTCGCGCTTTGAAATTGAAGTTGTTCGCTCATAAATCAAAGCTGATCGGTGATAGTTAGCATATTTTCCATTTGCACTTCTCCTTCACCTTTACATTGTGAATTTGTAGGCAAGCACCATCCAATAAAACCACCGCAATCATGACAACAATAAAATAATTTGTTTTTGTTTCGCTCCATCTCGAAAATTCGAATAGTTGATTTTTTACGACATTTAGGACAATTTTTGTTGCAATATGTAAATTGATTTGAGGTATTGCCGTTAATACTTGAAGTTGATATCTGCAAAAATATAGAGCCAAAGTAAACGAAGATATTCATTTATAATATGAATAAAAAAACTAATGTTGTAAATGAAAAGTGAACCATCATCGCTATGGGTTGTTTTGGGAAGATGGTAAAAAGTGACTTTTTGGCTTTTAACCAAGCTTTTAGCTTTTTTAGACAAATGATTTGGGAAGTTGGTAAAAAGTGACTTTTTTGCTTTTTTAGTTAATAATTTTTTATGTTGTCATATCATCATGGCATAGTGTAAAATGACCAAAATACCCCCTTCTCATTTGCAACTTCCACAATTTCACATGCTCTAACTAATTTGATACTCATCCCATGGATATGCAACGATTTTTCTTTTCTTTTTTTTTTATATAAAATAAAATAAAAAATTCAAAATATTTCATTTTTACCTTTAAATGTCTTCCTAAAAAATAAAAATACAAATTGTATAAAAATTCACCAAGGATAAAAAATTAAAAAAAAAAAAACAACATTACCACTTTTTGAATTAGAAACAGAATCATTATACTATATTTTGAATCAAAACAACCATGAGCAACCATGAAACAAACGTTTGCAATTTATAGTTTCTCTGTAAATAAAATGTATATAAACCAAAAACCCAAATAATTTCAAAAGAAAGAAAGATTAAGGAGAGAAGAGAAGGAGAGGGGTGGAGGGAAAAAAAAGAGCACAAAATACCAAAAGATCCAACAAAAGACCCAATAAGTAATAGACCCCAAAAAAATAAATTTTCTAAAATTTTGAGTAATGAAACAGATATAATAAAAAACAAAAAATCGCTTAGAGTTTATACCTTTGATTATATTGAAAACCCATAAATTGATGACCTACAACAAAAAGACACAACACAACATGAAAATGGCACAAAAAGAATAGCAGATGGTAGTCAGAAAGCCAAATAACACTTGTAATGTCATCAACGAAACTGAAAATTAACAGATCTATTTGTAACTCCTTTTGTTTCTACACATGTTGCAAATCACGGGTAGCAGATTTGCAGCAGAGGGAAGAGGCTTACATGATTGTGTAGATCAACCGAGGAAGACGACTTTGGTAGAGGGAATTCAGTGGCGATGTCGATGGCCGACGCTAGGAACACGTCTTACGCGGCGTCCACAGCAGCGGTGCAGCGGAGTGAAGACGATCTGAGAAGGGGAGAAGAACAAGAGGCGTGAGATGCAAAATGGTGAAATGTTTTGACTAAACAAACCCTAAAGTGAATGGAGGGTATATTCGTAAATACCCCCTCCTGCGTTTATCCAGCTTCCCAAATGAGTTTGATGAACAAAAAAGCCATGTTTAACGTTTTCATCAGACGCCCAAACGCGGCTTTTAACCACGTTGCCAAAACAAGCCATGTAAAAAAAGAAATAATCAGCCCAAAACAATTGAAATTCCAACAAGAAAATAATCAAGAAATTACAAACTCATTAACACATTCTATGAGAAAAAGAAGTAATTTCTATTAGAACTATAAGTACAATATAAAGAATAATATAAGACAATCAACCATTCTATTTTATTATATATATTTAATCAGCATTGTCCAATTACTTAAAGAATATGTATAATCCTATACAATATTCTAACTATTACTAATCATGTCCAATTCAGATGTAACCATTGTATATATATATTGCCACAATTTAACCAATAGTCATATATAATCTAGGGTCATTTACTTGCCAACACATTTGAGCTCCAGACAACAAACACAAAGATATGGGTCATGGATTTATCCTGATGCCCTGTTTAGTTAGAGAAACAAACATAAAGGTCTAGGTTATGGATTTTTTAAAAAAATAATCAAAGCAGATGTAGAAAAATGGGTACACAAATTCACAATGTAGGGATCGCATTCTATCATTTTTGTAGAGAAATTCACAAAAATTCTACAAAAATAAGACTAGTCATTTCTCTATATCAAATGTAGGCAAGCACTATCCAATATAAAAAAATTAAAAAAAAAAATGATAGAATGTACACAAGTACCATCAATCATAAAATGTGAAATTGGCGGTTTTATGGGATCACATTCTATCATTTTTGTAAAGACATTCTATCACATTCTATCATTTTTGTACACAAATTGACAATCTGGCTAGTCTTTACACAAATTCACAATGCAGGGATCGCATTCACAAAGCAGATGTACGGATCACATTTTATCATCTTTGTACACAAATTCACATTATGGTAGGTATTTACACAAATTCACAATGTAGGGATAACATTCACAAAGCAGATCAAGGGATCTTAATCTATCATTTTTACTCTGTAAAACAAACAATCAAATAAAGACCAAAGGAAGAGAAATTATAATGAAGACCAAAGGGAGAGAAACGGACCTCGTCGCTGTCTCGCGTTTGTCGTCCTCTCTCTTCGGCTCTTGCCAACTCTCTCTGTTAGTCTTTTGCTGCTTCCAGTCACCTCACCGTCGCTTGTCCTCGCCTCGCCTTGTCTCTATGGCGTCTCCGTTTATCACCTCCGTCACCTCGCCTCGCCTTCGACGCCTCTTCATTCATCGGCTCTCTCTCTCCTCCAAATCCTCACCTCTATTCGTCTATCTCAAAGTCTAAGGTTCAAAAATAAAAAGAGAAAAGTAAAATAATAAAATATATATATATATATATATAAGTATATAAAACGATGTCGTTTTGTACCGCGAGACAGGGAAGACCACAGGCAAGTGCAAGCATCCGGACTCTATACTGTGCGTCATTTTTAAGCGGCGTGCAATGCTAGTTTTTTTTGTTTGGAGGACCCAAAAAAAAAATTTAGATCATGAGTTGCGCGAATTTTTATAATCAAACAGCAAGCATCCAAATGAATTAGGGTTTTGACCATCCAGCGGCCCAAACTTGCGCCACCGTCTAACCATATATAATCCCAAACCCTAATTCCTTTCTCTTCCTCTCTCCAGCTCCTGCTTCTGCAATTCATTTGCAGCAGGACGGCCCCCCCTCTCTCTCTCTCTCTAGTTTGTCATGCCTTCTCTCGCTGTATCTGAGCCTCAGAAGAAGCATAAGATGAAGATCGACTCGAACGGTGAAACCCTAGAATTCGACCTTTCCTCTGTTAAGAAGATCAAGAAGGAGAAGAAACTGAAGAAGTCGAAGGTCTCCGAGTCTGATTCCGAAGAATTGAACTTCACTGAGAAGAAGAGCAAGAAGAAAGATAAGAAGCGCAAGGCTTCGGAGGTTGACGAGGATAGCGACGAGCAGAAGAGCGAGACGAGCTCCGAATTAGGCGCGCCGATGAATTTGAAGTCTGTCGGTGAGTCGGTGAAGAAGAAGAAGATGAAGTTGGAGGAGATTGATCATGAGGAGGTGGAGAAAGATGGTGGTGTTAGTGAAGATGAAAATCCGAATGCTTTGTCGAATTTTAGAATTTCTCCGCAGTTGGTAGATATGCTGAAATCGAAGGGTATTGAATCGTTGTTTCCTATTCAGTCTATGACTTTTGATGTTGTTCTTGATGGGGCCGATTTGGTTGGTCGAGCACGTACTGGTCAGGTATAGGCTCTGCATTAGAACCATTATTAATCTCTCAATATTTTATATTTTATTTTGGTTTGTTGATTATTAATACATGATTGGTATGTAAATTGCAGAATTAATATAGGTTTTCTCATCAAAATTGAATCTTGTAGTGTGTTATAGCTCTAATTTTTGTTTTCTTTTTTGAGTAGTTTGGGATTAACATGGATTGGTCTGCTATGTTTTATTATTGTTTGAAGTATCTTGAATAATTGGTTGTTGTGTGGTGCTGTCTTTTTTGGGTATCAGGAAGGGCATGAGATAGATTCATTTAGGAAGGTAATGACACTAAGTTAGTGTTTGGTTCCCTGGAATGGAGTGAAATGGAATGATCATTTTATTAAAACGTTCATTCCCATGTTTGTTGACTAAAAAATAATAAAAAATACATAACAGATGGAATCATCATTCACAATTCAAGGGAATAGTCATTCTATAAGAGAGATCATTCCATTCCATTCCATTCAATCTCATTCCAGTCAACTGAATTCAAAATTCTGAGGATGGTACTATGTGAAGTTCAATACACAGACACACCTTACATTTGACTACTTGAACAAATTCTCCAGCCCTTTATCTGTTCCCATATCAAACTTAAATGTGAATAAACACCCCCTCCAAACCCTTTCATCTCCTTTACTCAAACTCTTATTAAGATGAGTTTTTCTTAAATCAAGGGTGACTCGAATGTTTACTCTAATTTTTCAAGGCTATTTTGTAACTTTCACAATGCAGCTACAAGAAGTTGAGTTACTAAACTTCTGCATTTTGATTACTGAAAAGACAGATATCCTATTATTGTTGTTTTTTCTTTTTGGCCTTTGTATTTTTTCGCATTGTTTCTTTGTTTTTTTTCCTGTAATGAAGTTAGTGTGCTGATCTTAGCTCTCTCAACATCAAACTTAATTATTGTATTTTGTTACGCTTTTGAAGGACTTGTATTCTCTGAAGTTATGGATTTCTCGGATTTCATTCACTTTATGGTTCTTTGCATAATTAGTTCCCAATTTTCTTTTCTTGTTTACCGAATGCAAACAACTATGCCTTGCAATCGTACAGGGTAAAACATTGGCCTTTGTGTTGCCCATATTGGAATCTTTAACAAATGGTCCTTCAAAAGCAGCACGGAAGACTGGATATGGGAGGGTTCCAAGTGTTCTTGTACTTCTACCAACTAGGGAATTGGCCACTCAGGTATTACATAAGAACCCTAGTTTAAGAATTGTTCTCTTTTACCTTCTTTTTTTTATATTTGTTGTTTTTGTTTATTCTTTATTACAGGTGTTTGCTGACTTTGAAGTTTATGGTGGGGCATTGGGGCTGCAATCATGTTGTTTATATGGAGGAGCTCCCTACCAAAGTCAACAGGTTAAATTGAAGAGGGGGGTTGATATAGTTGTAGGAACTCCAGGCCGCATTAAGGTAGCTGTTTCATTAATTTATTTATGCCCTAGTCATGTACTTCATGATTGTGATCATCGTCTTTGTTTAAAATGCCTTGCATGTGATATTACTATTTTCTTCTTTTGGTAAATTTGACCATCTTATTCCATGAAATTCTTGTTGTAGGATCACATAGAGAGGGGAAACATTGATTTGAGCTCATTGAAGTTCCGTGTCCTTGATGAAGCTGATGAAATGCTTCGGATGGGTTTTGTTGAAGATGTTGAACTTATTCTGGGTATGTAATTCACTACGTAATTCGTATATAAGTACCTTAAGGTTAATAACAATCAGTTGGTTTTGCTAAATACCTTGCACTGGATCGTAGTGTCCAGTACTGAAAATTTTGTTAATATCTTGTAAATGTATCATTACATGTGAATAATATTTACTGTTTATCAATGAATTTTGTATTCTATTTGTAGATGTATGCTGTTCTTACAGCTATACGTGGGATAAAAGTGGTTATGAATTTTGTTGGAGTTTGAATTGTAATGATCATTTCATATGGCATTATTAATGTCTCAGCTGTTTAAATTTTGTAGGCAAGGTGGAGGACGCAAACAAAGTTCAAACGCTTCTATTCAGTGCTACTTTGCCATCTTGGGTGAAGCAGGTTAGTTTCTTTACTAATATACTTCTTACTTTAAATTCTACTGCAAATTCAGAATTCAAATTGTAGCACATGCTGTTCTTCCCACCCCCCACTCTTTACTTTTTTGACTAAGTATTTGGTTTTATTTTTTATTTCAAACATGTCCCTTCCTCTTCCCTATCTGTCTCTGTTTATCTTGCTGAAACCCTTGTTTTTTTGCATTGACAGATTTCTTCTAGGTTTCTTAAACCTGATAAAAGAACTGTTGATCTTGTTGGTAATGAAAAAATGAAGGCTAGTATCAATGTGAGGCATATAATTATTCCCTGCTCTAGTTCAGCCAGAGCCCAGCTTATTCCTGATATTATTCGCTGTTATAGCAGGTTGGTTGTTTCTGGTGTCCGACTATTTATTAAGTTTTTCAGTTATTCCTTACAAAGTTGTTGATTAGTCCTCTTGATTTCTTTTCACCTGTGGGATGGTTGATTCAGTGGAGGGCGCACTATTATTTTCACCGAGACAAAGGATTCTGCTTCTGGACTTGCTGGCATATTGCCTGGAGCACGTGCTTTGCATGGGGACATACAGCAAGCTCAGCGTGAGGTATGTTAAGCAATTGCTTTCCTATGTTAAGGGCAGAGAATTTTTTTATTGATTTTTCAGGTTGCAGTGTGGTGTATGTTCAGCAATTTGTGCTTTTGAATTGTTTAATCACTAATGCTATGGGCACATAACCAGCAATAGAACCAACTACATAACCAACCACCAAGCAAGCATAAATGGGTTGTAGGGGTGTTCAACAATCCGATTCACTCGAAAACCCAAACTGAAACGTTCAACCCGATTATACTGTGGGCGGTTTTGACTATGTATTCAGACGGCTGTGGTTCCTTTTTTGCAATTTCTTCGGTTTTTCAATTGGACATCAGATTAAATAAAAAAATATTCGAATAACCCGAACAGACCGACTTAATTATAAATAGGCATTAATTCTGCCTAGGTAAAAATAAATTCATTTCTCCCAAGACATATTTGGCTCTTCAATGTACATACACCTTTCATTGTAGTTGATGTAGTTGCATCAACATCTTCCCAAGACTTTCCTTTCCAATTATCTGATGCAACCTTTCGTGTCTATCTCTCTCTCACTCTTTTTAAATTTACCTTCCCAACACAAAAACATTTCCATCTTCTCTTCCACTTTCTCATATCTCTCTCTTAAACCTCTCTTAACCTTTCTCTCTAAATTTTCCCAATGACAAACAAATATCTGACCTCACCCTTCTACCTTTTATCTTCTTCTCTTTCTTCCACTCTCATCTCATCTCTTCTTTCTATCTCTTAAACCTTTTGCCGCTCTCTCACCCACACTCATCTCCATCTCCCTTTTCTGTCAACCCTTTCGTCTCCTCTCTCACCCACCCCCTTTTTCTTTGTCTCTAACCAGCTCCTTCTCTCCCTCACGATTTGCACCTCTTCTCTCTGCGATTGTGGCGACGGGGCGTGAGATCATCGAAGGGGTGATGGCTTAAGATCGACTATGCTGAGATTGCAGCGCTGATGATGGTGATAGTGTTTTCGTTAAGTTCTGTTTTGCTTCTTCCTTATCTCTTGAAACCTTCACCCTCCCTCTCTTGCCTAGAAACCCTTTCTTCCTCATACCCTTTACTTTGAGATAGTAGAATTTCATTACAGCATTGACCGAAGTTTGTACCACCCGCAACGAACGGTTTCGATGCAGTTTTCGGTTGACATCGGATGAAAAGTTTGCCAAACTGAAGGTGTTCGGATGTTGGTGACTGTCAAAACCGATTCGATCCGACCCATGTACAACCATAATGGTTTGCATCTATAGATGCAAAACCCTTGTTATGCGTGTTCGGTGGTTGGTGGTTGGTTATATGTGCATGGCATTTTTGTTGTTTAATTAGTTACTATCATTTTCTTTTAAGCATTGTGGAAGGATACTTTTTAATCTTGGTAGAGGTTTTGCATTGAACACATTGTTTTTCTAGTTTTCCTTGCCACTCGGGAAGCTGTTTATAGTTGTGCTGAACATGAACAGAACACTTTGATCACCATAGTTCTTTTCTGTAGCCTACTTTTTCCACCCTGCCATAGCGAACAAAACTTCAGTGACCTCAAATGAACAAAACATCAGATATCTGCCTGTGTTTAGCCTGTGTTTATGATACCTATTCATGTACTCACTACTCATCCTCCTCTGTTTTCTAAAATGTGATCTGATGCTCCCAGGTCACGCTTTCTGGATTTAGATCAGGCAAGTTCTTGACATTAGTGGCCACAAATGTGGCAGCAAGGGGATTAGACATCAATGATGTCCAGTTAATCATCCAGGTTTGTGTTACTAATTATATGCAGATACAGATTCTGTTATTGTCAACCTCTGTTTTCAGCTATGTATATGTAATGATATACTGATAATGCCTCTATGCTTTTAGTGTGAACCTCCACGTGATGTAGAAGCATATATTCATCGATCTGGACGGACTGGGAGAGCTGGTAAATTCTAAACTTGTCTCTTTACTTTTTAAACTTAAGAGAGTTGTTTGAATGGTTGTAGTTGGGTGAATTACTTAGAGGTAATGCTATGTCATGTTTTCTAGGAAATACGGGGGTTGCTGTGATGCTTTATGATCCAAGAAGGTCAAATATTTCTAAGATAGAAAGAGAATCTGGTGTAAAATTTGAGCACATAGCTGCACCTCAGCCAGCTGATATTGCCAAAGCTGCTGGTTCAACAGCAGCAGAAACTATCTCAAAAGTGTCTGATGGGTAATTATTTTGCGTTCTTGTTTTTTGTTTTTGTTTAGTGGGATAATTTTAGTGCTGTCTACCCACATGATATATATGCTTTAAAACTGTAGTGTCATTCCCATCTTCAAATCTGCTGCTGAGGAGCTACTGAGTACCTCTGGTCTGTCACCGGTAGATCTGCTTGCAAAAGCACTTGCCAAGACAGCTGTGAGTTCGGTTTTCTTATCTTGTTTTATTATAAACTTGGATTTCTTGTAAAGGTTGGGCTTATCATGTATTATCATTATGCAGGGTTATACTGAGATTACTAGTAGATCACTCCTCACTTCCATGGAGAACCATGTCACTGTACTTTTGGAGGCTGGAAGGCCCATCTACACGCTTTCGTGAGTCCTGGAAACCTTTTTATATTATTATTATTATTATTGTTATTATTATTATTATTATTATGTTTATCTGTATCCCACACATTTTGTTATGATGTCAATGAGAAAAAACTTTGTAGCGAAGTGATACTGCTTGCCTTGATTTTTATTATGGGACTTACTAATTTTCATCATGGGGCTCACTAATTTTTATGATGTTATTTCAGCTTTGCTTATGGGGTCTTGAGGAGGTTTTTACCTGAGGAGAAGGTGGAGGAAGTGAAGGGTATTGCTTTAACAGCTGATGGAAAGGGGGCTGTATTTGATGTTCCTACTGAAGATTTGGATACATTTCTTGCAGGTATGTTCTGCATGACCAATTCCTGTAGAGCACAGGATTCTTTTAAAGATTCAACCTATTTCCAGAACTAGTTTTTTGCTTTTGTTTGGGGTCATCTAAAAAGTTATGTATATATATTTTCTTTAGTGCAATTATTTTAGATGTGTTAAATTTTTGTTGCTTTTCATGTGATTGTAGTCTAGATAGATCTAAAAAGACTTCTTTTGGAAATTTTTTCACCAAAGACCAAAAAAATCCTTATTTTTTAGGGTTTTTTCTTTTTTTTTTCTGGTCGTCGAAGGTTTTATTTTATTTTACTCTTCGGGTCCAGTTAGTCCAGTAAAACTTGAAAGTGTATAGTTTTTTGAGTTCAGATGAGAAAAAAGTCAACAAAAAAGTTGCTAAAAAGGCAATTCTCAAACTACACATGGTGAGTTTTTCATAAAAATGTTCAACAAGCTAGGGATGACAGTTTTGTTTTGCATCAGTGTTTCTGGAAATTGTTTGCATGGTTACATATGCTGAAATCTTTCATAAAATGTTGAACAATCAGGGGTTTATATTATTGTTTTCCTTGGCCTTTCGTGTGTGCTTCATATAATTGGCTCATGTAACTAAACGTCTATTTGTTACTTGTTTTGTCTTTTGCTGTGCTGCACAGGCCAGGAAAATGCAGCTGGTGTGAGCTTAGAGGTGGTGAAAACACTGCCTGCCTTGCAAGAGAGAGAACAGTCAAGAGGGGGAAGATTTGGCGGTGGTGGGTTTTCAGGAGGAAGGGGTGGGAGAGGTGGCAATTTCTCTGGCCGAAGAAATGATAGATTTGGAGGGAGAGGAGGTCGTGGTGGCAAAAGCAAATGGTGAAAGATCTCTGAAATTGTCACAACTTACTGCTGACGGAAGAGAAGATGTGTTGGTTTGATGTTGCAGCGAAATTTTTTTGTGATAATGAAGAAAATAGAAAAATTTATTCTTCAGCTGTTATTAAGGAGAATCAAATCAGCTGAAACTATAGGAATTTTGTCTCATTCATGTGTTCTACTCTCTATTTTAATATTTTAAATTTTGTCTGGGGTTTTTCCAATGTGGCACCCCGTTTTTGTTTTAAAAAAAAATTGCTGCAAATGAGAGAGATTACGGGTCGAGGATGTACTCTTGTTTCTTGGGCAAATGTGTAGTCTGAAGTTATATTTATTTAGTGGCTTTGTATATGGCTCTTGACTCTAGGACATGCATGCATCTCATGTTTGTGAGAGCTATTTATCTGCCTATTAGCTCTTAAATTGATGGTATTAGATTGAACTATTATATCTGTAGTTATTGTCCTGCCTCTCCCCTTTGAATAAGGGTGACATAATTCAGTTAAATATTTGGAGATTAGTTTTTCTCACATGAATTTTAAAGGAGGGTTTTGAGACAGTTTAGATATATTTTACAGGGCACTCAAGCGAGAGCTTTATTTTTGAGACTGTTAGCTAAGAGGGACATCTATCTAAACGATTACCTATTTGTCTAATATTATCTGTCTGTTTAAATGTCTTCTATTTATACATGGATTATTTATCTGTTCAACTATTTATTTTTTCAGTTTTGCTGGGTAGCTATAAAACGAGTTGCCCCAAATGGCTTAAATGCTAAAGCGACATCGTTTGGCATATTTTTTTTTTTTCCCCTTCTGCTGTTGAAACTGGTCTGAGAGAAACAAAGAGGTGAGAGAAGGAGAAGAGGACGACGAAGAGCATTCCATCAAACACCATACAGGCATCTTCAAAAGACCCACATTTAGCGTACATACTAATTTAGTCTTAGTAAATGGGTCAATCTCACTTAACAAACCAATATGCTTATGCAATTTGCATCTCTTTCTGAAATTTCCTCTGTTCTTTTTTGTTCGGTATCTTTGGTGATTTCAAAATCAAAATCAAAATCTAAAAACCATACCCAAAATCAAAACCAAGCCTATAGAATCAAAATCAAAACCCAAAATCAAAACCAACCCAAAATCAAAATCTAAATCTAAAATTCAAAATCAAATATCAAAATCAAAACCAAACCCACAGAATCAGAAAAACCAAATCCAAAATCAAGATTTAGCTTCGGCTTAGCTTGGACTCACGTTAGGCAATGGAGTCAAGAGCAGCTATGGCTTCTTCTAGGTGTTCATTTTTGCAGAGGAAGTTCAAATGTGCTCCTGTGACTCTTGAATCGAGTTTTATGGAGAGGGAGGAAGTGAGAGAAAGAGGAGAAAGATGGAGGTTTAACAGAGATGAGAGGGATATGGGATGAGAGGAATGAGAAGGATGAGAGAGAACAAAGATAGCGAGGAGAGGAGAGAGAAAATTTGTACCATTTCGGGCCATTCGAGCTCAGCAACTTCGAGCTACGAATCATCTTTCTTATTTTTTTGAGAATGTTCGACTATTTATTTAAATGTCACCTATATGTACATGTGACATTTATTTATTTGTTTAATGTCATCTATCTGTTTGTTTTACTACCACTAGTTGTCGTCAATTGCTAGCAAATTTTTTGATGTTGGTGATTTTTTTGAGAAATTTTCAATGTGTATCTTTATCACCAAAAAAGAATTAAATTTTAGATTAAATAACATATGGCATCATAAAAATGGATTTTTCACCAATTAACTATTTTATTAAAAGTTTTGATGAAAAATTTGACTCTCATAGGAGTGATTTATATCAAATTAAAGCTTTCGATCTAAAATGTCGAAAATTTGATGATATGCTCTGACAACCGAATGTAAGAAGAAATTTATTTTAGGATAAATTATAAATACATTCCTGAGATTTACTTAAAATACAGATCGTTCCTTGTGGTTTAAAAAATTATAAATACCCCTTTATTAGAATTTTTTATTTAACAGAATTAACTAAAAAAATAAAATTCATAATTGCTCTCCTATATAATAATAAAATTACTTAAATTACTAATTGAAACATATTTTTAACATCATTGAAAACTGTTAATTGACTTGATGATTTATTAATAAAATGGACGATTTGTTATGAAATTAGAAACATCAGGGGGTGAAATGTAATTTTCAAAATCACATGAGGCGATTCGTATTTTAATCAAGCCTCAGGAGATATATTTGTAATTTATCATAATTGAATCTATTTTAGAGCTCTTTTTTTTTTTTTTATGAATAATGGTATATGTACCAATTAATGTACCACCTAAGTATACTAATAGATAATGTGATATAATTTTGTAAGTTTTAGGTATTTGTAATTTTTATAATAGGTGAGGTCAGTAATAATAGTATAACACTAATTGGTATACTAGTATGTACATTAATTAGTACAGGTAATATCATCGCTCTTTTATTGAGTCTATTCTAATATTAGAAAGTGATTAAGGTCTCGTTTGGCAACAGGCTAATTTAGTAATTTTTTAACTATTTGGCTAAACTATGAGCTAAAAAAATAGTATGTTTGGGATGACTTTTTGACTTTTTACAAAAAAATATGTAAAAAGTAGAGAGAAAATAGAATTTTTGACTTTTTAGTATGAGTTGTTAACTTTTTGACTTTTTAACTAAACCGGTCGCTTCGAAGCCTAAGAGCTCTAAAATTAGAACTATAATTTGAACAATAGTGATATAACAAAGCTTTAAAAAAAAAAAAAAAAACATCATATCACAGTAAAACCCACCCCCAATAAAACCCTCTAAAACTCCTTTATTAGAGTTTTCCGTCATTTTTATCTAATATTTGACTCTTTTAGTGGTGCGTTTAAACTTGTGTTTTGTATTAGGGTCAGTTATATATATAAAAAGAAGAGTCCTACTTGTGTGACCCCCTAATGATGTAGACCTTTGCATTTCAGGTATTGGTTGGTTTGTATATAATGGGTGCTGTTATGGTGTGCAATCCTTAAGGTTACACATTATGTGCAACCAACACAAAAGGTGTAAATAAAAAGTGTAAATAAAAAGTGTAAACATAAAACAGGACAGCAAACAGAAAGGCGTAAATGTAAGGTGTAAATTACACACTTAAGAAAAGTCCGTATATAAATTACTCAATTAAAACTCAAAACTCTCTTCGGGGCATATTTTTAAGGTCTCTATTATAACTAGATTTGGCAAAGTTCATCTTTTTGAATTTTATTAATTATGTTTGGTTTATAAATTTAGATAAAAATTTTAAAAAAAAATATATATATATATATAATTATATTTTACCTATATTTTAAATATGTTTTTTTATCCTTTTAAATTCAAAAACCGCACACAGCTTTAAACCTTTCTATTTTCTTCAAAATTGGGTTTTTTTTTTTTTTTAAATATTTATTTTCATATTGGGCAAAATCAAATCCTTCAAGTTCCAGACACGTCCATCCACACTCTCTTCCCACTCCAAACAATATCACAAAGCGGTTGCTCTATCAATCCAGACTCTTCTATATCTATACTATAATATCTATATACTACTATCACATTTCACAATGATTCTCTATGATTCTCTTCTTGTAGATTTCCCAACACTGTTTGATTACCAATTTCCCACAATATCATGGGTTGGTACAGAAGATCAAAACTCGCATTCGAGACCCTTCACACCTTCGTTTCAAAGATCAAACCCCAAAACAACCCAATTCGAAATCCCACTCACTTCACCCAAATCCCAGGTTTCTTCTCCGATGTCCACAACTCTGGGTTTTCAATCTGGGTTCAAATTCAAACAGAATCAACACAACCCATTTCATGCCTTTCCTCGTAGATTTTACAATGCTGATCGATACGATGTTCAGCATTTCAAGCCTCGAGGTCCTCGAAAATGGTATAACAATCCCAGAACTGTATTCACTGTTGTGCTGTTGAGTTCTGGGGTTATAATCACTGTCTATTTCGGGAATCTGGAGACTGTCCCGCACACAAATCGAAAGCATTTCGTGCTGTTATCGAGAAATCTCGAGAAGCAAATCGGAGAAGCTCAATTCAAGCAAATCAAAGCTGCATTCAACGGGAAAATCTTACCTGCGATTCACCCAGAAAGCATTCGAGTCCGATTGATCTCTCAGGACATCATAGGGGCTTTGCATAGAGGGTTGAGGATTGGGGAGGCTTGGAATGATCTTGGGTACGCGTCGGTGAACGATTCGATATCGGAGATTGATGGGATTGAGGCTTTGGTTGCTCTGAGTGAGAGCAAAGAAGGGAAGTGGTATAGAGATGATGAGGTTCTTGATGATAAGTGGGTTCAGAAGAGTAGGAAGAAAGGGAAGGAGAGAGGGTCTAAGCCTGATACAGGGCATTTGGAAGGGTTGAATTGGGAGGTGTTGGTGGTGGATGAACCAGTTGTGAATGCTTTCTGTTTGCCTGGTGGGAAAATTGTGGTGTTTACTGGGTTGCTTCAGCATTTTAGAACAGATCCTGAGATTGCAACTATAATTGGGCATGAGGTATAATTTCTTTTATAGAATTGTTTAAGAATGGTTTCTATTTGCACATCCCCTTATTTCTCAGTGCACACCATTTGTTATTTTATTTATGGGCAAATTGCGACAGTAGTCCTGTGCTTTGGTCTTGTGTTATTTTGATCCTCTAATTTTAATTGGCTTGATTTTGACCATGAATTTATAATTTTGTTTCAATGTGATCGAATTGATTACAACTCATATTTTTTATTTTTTATGAAAAATATGCTTATGTGTACGATGTGTCATAATTATAAATTTACTAACTTCACATTCAATAATTATTTTCAGTCAAAAACTCTACCAACATTATCAATTGGATTAAATTTACACAAAATTTAAAATCAATGGTCAAAATTGTGTCAATTAAAAGTGAGGGACCAAGGAACAAAATATAAGTATTACTGGTACAATTTGCCCTTTATTTATTTATTTTCATTGTATCCCTCCCTCAAACAAATTTGGATAAAAGTTGCCCAATACCATATTTTTCAGTACACACCATTTGCTATTATTTTTTATTTCAATTGTATCCCTCAAGCAAATTATTTTTTTGGGTAAAATCCTAAAATTCAATCTCTCAGGCGGGGCTGGAAAGGGGGATTGCAGCAGCGGCAGGAGGGGGCTGGCGGAGGGTCTGGGGACTGGGATGGTGGCTGAGGTGGGTGGTGAAGTTAGGGTTTGAGTTTGGAGAATATGGGAATATTTTGGTATTATTTGAAAATTAATGGTGTGAATTGAAAAAAAAAAAAAAAAAGTTTAAATTGTGTGTGGTGTGTATTGAGTAAATGAGTAAATGATGTGTATTGAGATGAGAGGTGGTGCGGAAATAGAATTTCCCATCGTTTAACCATTGTATTTCTTTGGTAAATTACATTTTGCACCCTTTCATTTTAGGCCGAATCTAACTTTGGTCCTTCGTTTAAAAAAAAATAAAATTGTAACAGTTAATTTTTGCACTTCCGGTCAAGTTACAATGTAGTTTTCCTGTTAGTAGGTGTTAAATTCATCAATGAAAATTGTAATGTGACTCTCACATGATGTATTTTTTACAGGTAAAATGTAATTTTTTTCTTTTGCTCTTTCTCTATGTTTTCACTCTGTATTTTCTCAGCTGATCACCATTGATCACCCCTTCTATATCCTCCTTGTTGGTGGAGGGTTCGACCACAGAATGTTTAGAAAATACTTACAGTAGATAAATACAGAAGAACAAGAAAAAAGAAAAAGAAAGAAACTTACATTTTCGTCCTAAAAATGTTTTATGTGAGGGTTATCTAACAATTTCCATTTAGCAAATTTAACACCAAACTAACAATATGATTTATATTGTAACTTGTTTGAAAGTGCAACGGATTGACTTTTACAATTGAAAAATGAGGGATTAGATTGGGATTCAGTGTAAGGTGCAAGGGTACTAAGCGTAAGTTACCCTACTTTCTTTGTTATATTGCGGCTCAAGTATTTTGGTATTCAAATATTCATTTCTTGATAGGTTGGGCATGCTGTGGCTCGACACATAGCTGAAGGAATTACGAAAAATCTATGGTTCGTCATGTTGCAATTGATTCTTTTTCAGTTCATTATGCCTGATCTTGTCTATACAATGTCCACTCTTTTCCTAAAGCTTCCTTTTTCACGGAGGTAATTTTACTTTTTATTTTTTACTTTCATTTGTCATATTGTTCAAGTTTGTTTCTTTTGATAGTACTTTATTTGTTGAACATTAATGCCAGAAATTCTTGCTTGATTCAGAACATATACTAGTTAAGATTGTTAATTACTCATTTACTATTATTTTTGTCAAGGGGCAAAATATGTGGGGTCATTGCATAGTAGCTATGTCGTGTGCTTCATTACCTATCAACTCAACGTTATCTTTTGTTAACTCTTGTTTCACATGTAATTTTCATTGCATAAATATTTCTGATGTGCTTCATCACGCTTGGCAGCCTGAGCTTTTAAATGCACTTTATTTGTAATATATAAAAGTTTGCCTTCATAGTTTCCAAAAGAAACACTTAGTTTGTTGGTTGAGTACTTCCATTACAATTATTTGGTCTTAATGGTATAAACGTAGGGAGAGTTATAATTTATCCCAAAAAAAAAAATGTGGGGAGAGTTAAAAATGTTTTCATGTACTAATATTTTTGGAGAAATAAACTAAACGGTTGTACTTGGGTTGCTTGAAGATAGAAACATAAAATGTATTTTGACTGATTTAGAGTAGGAAGCAGCTTTGGCTTGGGCTTATAAAAATGTATTTTGACTCGGTTTTAGCTACCCTTGGCCCAGCTCAGCCAGCATAATTGGCAGTCCACATCCCTAGATTTATTTGGGAAGATCATTGTTATTTTCTGAAGATAGAAACATAACCGTGCAGGAGGATTGATAATATTCAGATTGAAGGTATTCCAAGTTCGTAGGAAGAGGGGAGACGATGTGGGTGTCGTATTAGGATCCTCTACAATTTGCTAAATACTTGAACAATTCAAAAAATGGCAGAAGAGAATTGCTTAATATGGTAGTTGGAAGATGTTTTTGGCACCCGAAAAGGCAGAGTTCTCTGAAAAGGGACTACATTTTACCAAAGTTTCATGGTAGCCATCTCAGAAACTTCATCTCAGTGAGCTCGTTATTTATTGGAATTGGAGATTGGTCATAGAGTGTAAGCGATAAATTGTTGGACCAAAATCTGAGAAGTTAGTTTGCTCTTTTCAAGGTAATTATTTTCACTTTGTTGTTTGTTTTTCCTTTTCTTGGAGAAGAGAAATGTGAAGGGGTAGGGAAGGGTAGTTCTTTTCAGGGATGTGTTGTTTTTCCTTTTATGTAAGATTCCACTTGGTTTCCCTGGATTTCATTTCAGTTTCTGCCTCCTCCCATCTATATAAGCCTGGCAGTTTGTATAAAGGTGGAGGATTCATAGTGTGGTACGTTAGGATACTTGGAAGCTAAGAAGCACAGACACGGTGATTTTGAAAAAATTAGGATACGGAGGCAACGGGAATACGGATTTTTATTACATATATATTTACTATATATATGAATATAAATTCAGGGCACAGAGATATAAGAGACATTAATGTATATGTGTGTAGCTTTACTATTATTTTTTGACTTTCCTCCCCTTGGTTTTCATATATTTCACTATTCCAAATCATATTTCTAAAATTATGAAAAAAGAAACTCACAAAGGTGTCCTTAGGTGTGTCGAAACACAAGACTTGCACGCCTGTAAAGTGTCCTGTAAAAAAATAATGTTCCTGGTGTGTTGGTATTCCCTACGTGTCCGACATGTGGATGCAAGGTTTTAAAAGCGGCCGCAACCGTTATGTAACGTCGTTACGTAACGGTTATGGTGGTTACCGCCACCCGTTACGGCCGCTTTTGCAATGTGATTGAGATTCACAGGTGTGTCAGTCGTAGCGGCTGCCGTAGTGGTCATAACGGTGTCATAACAGCCGTAACAGTCTGTTACGCACCATTATGTAACAGTTCCGAACTGTTTCTTTTGAAAAAACACACAAAAAAAAGTTAAAAATGGGAGAAGAGGGATATAGAGAAGAGGGAAGGTAAAGAGAGAAGATGGAGGAGCAAGAGATAGAGAGAGAGAGATGAGGGAAGATGAAAAACATGTTATTGATTTGTTAAAATTTTAAGACCTATGCTATTCTATTCAGCTGCTATCACTCAACCATTTCATTTGTGTGTGTCTATCTATATATTGTTTGAAAATAATAATAATAATAACAAGTGTGGTCATTTTCTATTTGGCTTGGTTAAAATATCTATATATATATATATATTTAGGCTCTTATTTATGCTCTTACTTTTGTTATTGTTTATCTTATATATAATAGTTAGTGATTGATTGATTTTTTATATAATATAAAGTCATTAATTATTAAAATAAAATGTAAAAAACTCTGTTTATAATGATTTAAAAAGTACATTAGGATACTTGGAAGCTAAGAAGCACGGGCACAGTGATTTTGAAAATATTAGGATACGGACGCAGCGGGGATACGGATTTTTATTTTTATTACATATATATTTACTATATATATGAATATAAATTCAGGGCACAGAGATATAAGAGACATTAATGTATATGTGTGTGGCTTTACTATTATTTTTTTAGACTTTCCTCCCCTTGGTTTTCATATGTTTCACTACTCCAAATCATATTTCTAAAATTATGAAAAAAGAAACTCACAAAGGTGTCCTTAGGTGTGTCGAAACACAGGACTTGCACGCCCGTAAAGTGCCCTGTAAAAAAATAATGTTCCTGGTGTGTTGGTATTCCATACGTGTCCGAAATGTGGATGTGTGTTCCCGGTGTGTCAGTGTTCTATATGCGTCCAACACAGACACGACACCCATTTTGAATTGTCAGTGCTTCATAGCTTGGAAGGGTGTGTCTCATTTTTAAGAGTTTGGGGGTGGGAATTGATGTGCTTGAAGCTAAGGTTTTTTTTATTTATTACTCTCTCCCTCCAGGTAGGGGTGATCATTGGTTCAATGGTTAAGACTTGGCCTAATAACCTTAAGGTTATGAGTTCAAGTCTTGGGGCCACCACTTTGTACCTTATATCAAAGGTTAGGTGTGTACTCAATTTTTCCCATCCTGTGTACTAATTGGGCATTGTTTTTACTCTCTCCCTCCAGTTCTTTGGAGCTGGATTGGGGCAGTGTTGGTGAACAAAGATTTATGAATGGTCAATGAACTTGATATGTATATATGTGTGTACACGCGCGTATTTCCAATACGCTGGTGAAGAAGTACCTCTGTCTATCTTAGCCAACATGGGGAATTTGGGCACACTTGCTTTTCTTTATATTAAAACTGTCATCCTGAAATAGAACCGAGTCACAAGTGTTGTTGGAGATTGGAGAATGTATTACTGTTTGTCCGAGTGCTTTCATTCCAACCTCATCAACTAATTTATTTCCATGATCTTTTTTGCTTTTTAGGATGGAAATGGAGGCTGACTACATTGGGCTGCTGTTAATGGCTTCAGCCGGGTATGACCCTCGAGTGGCGCCAAAAGTGTACGAGAAGTTGGGTATGATCACGGGCAATTCAAAGTTGAGAGATTATCTCTCTACACATCCTTCTGGAAAGAAGAGAGCTGTGCTTCTATCCCAAGCCAAAGTCATGGAAGAAGCCATGGCCATATATAGGGAAGCCATCTTGGGACAAGGGGTTTTGGGTTTTCTTTGACGACAGTGAGAAAACAAGAAATAGTCCCCTCTCTTCTCTTTATTTTTAACCTCTGCTGATTATTTTTATTTTATTTTATTTTATTTTTTAAAGTCTTTTGTTTTGGTTTCAGCTGTAATGATCTTTGGCTTTTAACTTAGTTGTTGTGTATAGGGTAGTTTTTCAAGAACATTATGTATACCTCTACCAAAATCTGTATTAGGATTTGGAGGTTGTAGAGAATAGATCATGTATGTGAATATTCTAGCACAAGAGTAACTTCTAATTTTACTTGTTTAACTGCTATTTTTACTTGATGATCAAAAAAAAAAAACCGACTATTTTTACTTGTTTTATTGGTTACTCCGTTCATAACATTTGTGTCTCAAATATGTGTCTGTGTTCTAAAATACTAGTAATTGTCAAATTTCGGAACGTGAGAATTTTTATATATGGTTTAATAATGACGAGACAGATTTAGAACAAAAAATTTTGGAGTGATGTTAGGGATTTTAAATAATCTATTAAATTTTTTATCAAATCTTTCACATGGGTGTGAGATTTACACACGTGGGTTTGTGTGAGTCTCACACTCATGTGAGAATTTTGGTAGAAAATTAGGTAAATTATTTGGGGTCTATAGCATTTTTCAAAATTTTGAGCTGCTATCTATAATTAAGTTGTACTGCACTCAAGTTATGTTTGACATAAGCTTTTTTTGGCTATTTTAATTATAAAAAGATAAAAAGATTATAAACTGATTAAGATAAAATATCACATTTAAATCATAATCCTTTCATTTTTTTTTTCTCACAAAAGTTAAAAAAAGGTCAAAAAGTTCATCCTATCCCAAATTAAAATAATTAAAAAGTCATAAAATTTAAAAAACTAAACACACCTCAAAGAAAGGCTCATATTCAAAGAGTTGTCCTTTCGCACCTCAATAATTCATATGGTCTTATTGAAAATGATCTCTATTAAAATTTGCGGTCTCCCTCTCTAATTGTCTTGTAAGTCTTCGTCATCTAGTGGGGTTCTTTGGTGAAGTTTAAATTAGTTAATTATAATTTATTTTAATTTAGAAGCTTGTAGTAGGCTTTTTGGTATAATTTTTTTTTTATAATTTATTAAGTAAAAATAATTTAAATAATTTAAAAAATCTAATTGTTTGAAAGTTAATAAATGAATACGTTTTGACTGGTATTTTTTAATTATTTATTTTTAATTTATAATAAATTACATCAAATATTGTTAGACATATTTTGCTTTGCACGGTGTACTTTAAAATTAGTTGCCAAAATGTCCCACCGCTCCATTTGTAGACTCGAAGGGCGACACATTGACATTCAAATTGGAATAATTAACATGATAGCATAAATAGCACGCTTTTTGTCGTGTATGCTCCGAGTCTATGTAATTATTTTAACTAAAAACATATGGAATTTCAAAGCATTAACGCCTCATTTGTTCCTAGAGTTAGAGAATGAAATTGAAATTAATAGTGAGGTGGTATTATATTTATTTTAGAAAGTTGCCATAAGAGTCCTATGGGACTATAAAAGGCCTTGGATAAAGGGACTAGTAGTGGCCTAGGGGAGGTGGTATTAAAAAATGAATCACTTGGAACAATGGGTTAATTGACTATTTTACCCTTGTATTTATTGCTAAATTTGTTATAATACTTGAAATGAGACTCATAATATGGCTCATGTAATATTAAACATAAATAATTAAATAAAATTTTATTGATAGTTGGATTCTTTAATATTTGCCAAAAAGAAAAAAAAGAAAAAAAAAAGGAGAGAGAATAACATTGAGTAAAAATTTATTGATAGTTGGATTCGTTAATATTAAAAAAAGAAAGGAAGAAAAAAGAAGAATATTGAGTAAAAAAATTTTGATAGTTGGATTTTTTAATATTTAAAAAATATATGTAAAAAAAAAGAATAACATTGACTAAAAATTTATTTATTCTTTAGTTGGTATAAGCCTAAATTTGATAATAATGCAAAGGATTAGTTTTTATTCCCATTGATTGATTTACTTGTGGGGAATCACATATTTTCCCTAACAACTGGTATCAGAGCTTACGGTTTATTTAGGTCTATTTATTTGTGTAAATCAATGGAGGTGAGAGAGAGATTTATGATCTGGAGTTGAGCCGAGGTAATGGCCGAGCAGGTTGAGAGCCTAATGATGCATGGGGCCGAGATGACCGGCGATCCGCCCGTTGACGGGCTGCCAGGAATTGGGCCGGGCAGGAGTTGGGCCAAACATGCGCCGACAGACCGTAAAGAAGCTGCTCGGCAAGGCAGTGCTCGGTTGGACCGAGCTGCTTGATCAGGCAATGACGGGGCCAGTCAAGCTGAGTGACCGGCGCCCAGAAAGGCGTGGTTAGCCGAGGTAATCATTTGATCGGCAGGAAGGCCGACCACAGGAGGTGCCCCGGGCTAGGCTTTGCCGAGATGCCACCTAGCCCGGTCTTCCTTGGCCTTGGACAGTGAAATGCTTAGGTGTTAAGCATAGCCCGGCCGCGGATAGAGAAGTTCGGCTGCCGGGCTCCAGTTGAGAAGGCAGGCAGTTGAGATTAGGTGATGTTCAGCAAGGTTTATGTTGACAGATGGGATAGCAGAGCCATGTGTCAGGAGTTGACTGGGAGTGGATATGGGGCGCAGAGGGTATATAAGCATGTCTGCGCCCCCTATACGCGACAGATGAACACTTTGTAAGAAAACTCCTACACTTTAACACTCCTCTCTCTCTCTCTCTCTCTCTCTATCTGAAGGTGTGTGCTAACTTGATTGTCGGAGGGTTTCTCCGGCCACACACCGCCGGGCAGCTCACCGTTACTTGCTCGCAGTTGATCGGACATAAACGGAGCTTGGAAGAAAGGAGTACGGGCTCGCCGGAATATTTGCTCCCCGTACAATTGGCGCCGTCTGTGGGAAGATTGACAGACAAAACCTTGTCTTCCAGGTTCATCTGATCGCCATCCATGGCGAACAACGACGAGTTTCCGTTGTCTGCCATAGACGGAGCCACCCCGGAGTTCACCCGAAGGAGAGAAGGTCCTCCTGCCATCCATCCAATGGCGGACTTGGGGACACCTACTGGAGGACAGTCAGTAGACGCGCGAGATAAGCGCGGAAGAAGTCATGGTCATTCGCGGAGTCCAGACGGTCACCGGCGGAGGAGAGACTCACACGCCAGGCGCCTGGAAAGTAAGTTGAGGGACCAAGATGCTGTCATCCGGTGAATGGCGGCGGAGATGGAGGATCTGAAGCGGCATGTCAAAGGGAAAAGTGTAGCTGGAGTGGGAGACCACAGTGAGCGCACCCCATCCCGCTGTTCAGGCAGACAGAGTCAGAGACGTACTCAGTCCATATCTATTACAAAAGAAATGGAAATTGGTGATTCCGACGCGCATGCAGAAAAGTCTAGCGCGCAAGATACCAACTGTGTGCAATTTGCCTGGCTTGTCTTCTTGTCTGTTGCTACCGGAATTGCCTTCACGGTAAAAAAGGGGGTTTGAAAACGCCGTATTCTCTATTCGGATGTGCTCATTGATGTGCTGCATGAGTTGGCCATGGAGGTCGGTTGGTGGCATGTGTCAGCGAGTGACCGCAATCTATGGCCGACCGGGAGACCACGCTTATATTTGCGTGATTGCGAGGTTGACCGGGCAGTCCAGATCTCGTTGAAGTTTCCCAGTACCTTGAGTTGTACGCTTTCAGTGTGTCGACAGGTTTCACTCTGACACTCAGCAAGTGATCGACTTCCTTCGGTGTTTTTTGTGTTGGTTTTGAAGCGTGTAACAAACGCTCGGCCAACTGATGCCACCTTTGTATGCTCCTTCCGGCAACCTCTCGAACCAACTTTAAGCCCAGCTCGCCTAAACTTGACGGAAGATTAGGCACATCAGTCCGTCATTTCGCCTATGTCCGGCCATAACCTGTCGGAAGTGGCTCACATGCATGTAAGGATCGGTTTTTTCCATCGTAGAGTGTGAACTTAGACTGGTGGAAGCCTGCCGAAGCAGTGTTGTTTCTATTTCCAGAGAAAAAGGGGTGGCGCTCAGCCTGGCCAGTCCGTATCTTCAAAGAGTGGCACTGTTTGGCGGGGTGGAGGCATTCCGACCTCCTCGCTGGTGTGAACCCTGTAGGATAGCCGCTGGAACGCCGGTATTCTCTGAGCTTCGCGGCCGGCGAGCCCGCTCCTTTAAGACTGTCCGCAATCCTCTTGAATGAGCGAGATAAGAATAGTCGACGTCATCTCCGGACGTGAGGGTTTGTAGGTGCTG